AAAAATTTAACTTGTAGACAGTTTGTATGAGAATTGAAATGAAAAAAAGGAGAAAAGTTTGAGCTACGTCATTATTTTCCTTTAATAGGGACCTGATTAATTGCTTTGTGTTTCGCAAAAAATTGCAATTGTAAATTAAAAATCCAGTCCGCGAGAGATGAAAGTGGTTCGTTATTAAAGAATGCGCGCGGGAATAAGAGTGCCTTGCAAAGTTATGGGGATGAGATGAAGATGGGATGGGAAAAGGAGAATCAAGCAAGAAAGAATTCCATCCTATCTATCTGGGTCAATTCCCGAGGGTGTATATTTAATACCTCCAAAGAATTCTCTTCCTTTAACCCTTTACGTAGTCCTACCCCTTTTTTTGCATTTTACTCCAACACTCAAATATACCATAAATATATTCACATAAAACATGGGCAAGAGTACAGCGGTATGCTTACCAGTTATTCATTCATCAATTGATATTCTTTGAATCATTCATTGAATGATATTCATGAGTGAAAGAAATAATATCAATGGCAAAATTAAGGAAGATTAGGTTCTCGATAAATGTTAACTTTCAACTTCCTCTTTATTAAAGGATAAGACCACTGTAGACGCCCGAAAAATGGCGTTTTCTTGGTAGTTATTTTGACAAGGAAGGAAAGGTAGTAGAATAATATTTGGTGGAGTTATTAACATTATATTTAAGTACAAAAAGAAAAATTATGATATAAATATGAATAAATTGGGCGACACTAGAGCCATTCATCCGAGGTACGTTGAATTTGAAGCGCTCCGCTGCACGCAGTGTAGCTTGTGCAGATTTCAACGTGGAAAAAAAAATTCCACCTAATCTTCATGATAACAGCTAAAGAACTACGTAGGAGAACTTTTGGTAATAATTAAAAGACTGAAACGTTAATTAACAGACGTATATGAATGCAATATCTGAGTCTCTATATTTATGTTTATTGATCATAAATTAATACCGTATAACATGATGATTTAGATAGCTTTAATGGTGTATTCAGCTGTGTATACATGATGCTGTAAGTTCATTGTCATAAAAGCAAACTTCATGTTTCTTTTCCAACAATGACTTTCGCTCCATTCAACTTCTTTGTGTTCCACGTAAGCAGCTATGACGACAATTCATTCTTACGTCAATATAATCACTGCAGAGTCTAAGCAAGAATTCGAGTAATGAAACAGTATTCAGTCTCTCGTAAACTTTCGTATCTTAAAATAAAATGAATAGGTACGTGAGTATTCACAGTCATTGTAATCATATCAAAGTAGTATGAACTAAACATAGGGAAACTCCTAGTAATATTTCTCCAAGTAATAAGTCATTCCAAAGCGTAAGAATCAGTTCTGGCGAAGTTGCCATAAAATGGACACGAACTTCAATCCATCTTCTAGTTCCAACGAAAGATCAAAAGAGACAATTTTATGGACGTAGACATGTCCACGTCTTTACCGTATCTTCTAGGGAGTCTCACCACATGAGACACCCAGGATTTTACGATTCGGAAGAACATGAGGAACTTGATGAAGAAGGGTGGAGTTGGTATTTGCAAGTCAGTCCTCTGGCACTCCAGTGTAGCGCGAATACTGGACGCCAGGGAGACATTCGATCTGGCGATAGTCGAAATCTTCGCAACAGACTGTCTTCTCGGGTGGTCGGTCAGGCGAAGGTGAAAAGAGTTCCTGAAGTGATAACCAGTGTAGCTTTACTGAGGTCCAGTGATATAATGAGAAATCCTGAGAATCCCAGTTACATCCCCAATTATTTTAGTCCCTATACTGACCAGATGAGTTTCCCCGAGAGATTTCTCAATCTTGTAGGTCTTCTCGTGACGAAGTTAACTTACCCCAAGTTTTCGGATGAATCCAGCTACGTAATCTCTGAGGAACACTTTGCTCAGGATCTTCTTCCTTTTGATACGCTTAGGTCAAGAATCTTTTTGGTTTCCACCAACATCCATCCAGTAGTCACTAATTTGCGTTAACCTGCTGCTCGGATTCAAAGCGAATGCGTGATATTCATATACCAAAATCTGGACCACCACCATTTTCATAACATCTGAAAAAATATTTGGATATCAGTAAGAATGTAGGCTCGCGTACTTTAGCACAGAGCTACCCTTTTGACTCTTCATAATTCATTCTGGAGCGCTGGAGCATACCCCCAAAGCTGTCCATCGTGCCATCCCTATTCTCGATATGCCACTCTTCAGGGATCAATTTTTGAATAACGTCTATGCCGTAGAAAAGGGTTTTGCTTTGAAGGCAGATTTCTATCAACTTTCACATCGAAAGACATCGAACGTCCTGAGAGAGCTGTTTAGGAACGAGAAGTAGGGGTTAATAAAAGATTCACGTTATGACGTGGTGGGTTTTGGATATGGTTGCTGAAATTTTCATGTTATTTCGCCATTTTCATAATTCACTATGTATTTCGATCTTCTCAGATGGAAGTGGTAACGGTTGGGTTATCAATGACTGAATTGATGTAATAACATTTAAAAATACAGATGTTCCTCGAGTTGATCGATTTTAGCGGTAGTTCTGCTTTATGTCGTCGACGAAATGTATATTCTCTTATGTATTCACGGTTGTACTTCCATGGCGCAGAAAGCTTTGGGAAAGTTCAGAGATCGACTTATAACTCCTGTGGATGAAGGTGCATACTGGGTAAAATATATTCCACCTCATGATTCTGATGCTTTCAGAACTTCCGCTACTGATTGAACTTGGTACGAGTATACCTTCTTCCTATAATCTTAGTTGTGTGTCAAGATACCCTGCTTTACTTTTTTGAACTCTCAATAAAGTTGTGTGCTTATTTTATTATTGCACAATATAAAAACTTGATATTAAAAAAAAAAAGAAAACAACGATTTCTTAATGTGCATTTTTATATGGAAGTCGTATACCTACTAACACGTAAAGTCTGTAATAAGTAAAATGATAAAAAAATTAAATAAATGACATTTATACAAATTTATACTTACACATGTCAAATATACTTACATTTGCCATATAATTACGGAGTACATAAACTGACGATGTAAACTATTCACATATATATATTCGAAAATACGTAGATATCAATAGCAATGCTAGTTTGAGATTTCATGGAAGTTAGAAACAATCGAGCGTATTAATCGCGTAAGAATTTGAAAAAAATAAAATAAAAAGAGTCGAAATTGGTAAACTAATTTGCCTCAGTATTATATAAGAAAACGAAGAAGTTACAGCGCTAGGAATGGTGGCAATCAATAGCATCTGCTCCGATACGTTATTGGAGGACTGGTGTTATTGAAAGATGTATCGGATCTCAAAATTAATTGAATCTTCTGCTCGTTACTTGAGGATTACAGCATAGTACTATAATGGCATTACCTATACGATTATGGATGACTCTCGATACAATTCTTAAAGGAAAAGTAGAAGAAACATCGAAAGGTACGAGTAGTATAAGTTTGGGAGTTCTGGATATAGATTCCTGCACCGACATAATACCGACACTCCAGAACCTTCGAAGGTGGGTGTCCGTGCTAAGTTGCCGTCGTGAGCTCTACGATTTCTGAAAGTGACGTCATCAGAACCCTCGATTCCAAGAATTTTTGCTCGATTCCGGGAATTTTGCGTCACATTCCGGGAATTTTGCGCACGTGTTAAAGGAATCGTAACTAAAATCGGAAGCGTGAAAGATGAAGGTAGATACAATAAAGAGAAGTTCTTGATCTTATTGGGTATCTCTACGTTTCTCAGAGGCAGAGATTTATCAAGGCGCTCTTACGGCACATTATTAGGTACTGGATTAACAGCGGTAGCATTAAATTATCAAGCCGACGACAATGGCTTGTGACGTTGTATTAATTGTAAGAGTCGCCATACCAAGGAAAAGAAGCTTTTGCATATTCCCGCGTTATATCACCCACGTTATATTATAAATGCGCGAGCCTGAAGTAGCAAAACAGGAACCGGAAAGCTTTCCAGACGCAAGCGCGGTACACCGTAAGAGAATAAAAGCGTGGCTATAAATTCAGGAAAGCTCACCTATACACACACTCTGAGTTGCTTTTACAGCATCCGCCTTATATCCAGAAACGTGATTCAATAAAATCCCGTAAGCCTTCGATTACTCAAGGGTCTTACTCGGTACACCGGTCAAACGATGTCTTTTGTTAAAAAGCTGCGTCTTACCGGTGTTAGTAAAAAGCTCGAACGCAGTCTGGCTGAAAAAGCTTTCCGCAACGGTTGCTTTGTAAATATGTTAAGTGTGCTTCAATGATCTTAGCCTTACGAAAAGGGAGCAGTCCGAATTAACGGAATTGACGGTCTACCTGGGAATCATATCTACGGGGTGGTTAAATTGAAAATTGATTACTTCCTTTTTAATATTTGTTTTGCACCTTGTAATTGGGACGCTTGGGAAATCAGAATCTTCGCGAGGCCAGGATTTCCTGCTTCTGGACGATGTCTAAGTTTGTTGTATATTAGTAAGGGATACCTGCATTTTTTATTTCTTCCTCATTTCATCCCTTGATTAATGATCATACGACAAGGGTGCAGTGCTTTTATATGGGTTGGTATAATTTCAAGTACTTTTCTATAAATTATGATATATCAAATGCAGCCGACTTTCTATAGTTATATTCTTCAAGACTGAAGAAATAAGACCGGAGACTCTTACCCTTTCCTCGTTATATTTTTAGCTTTATTTTTACCTAGACGGAGGGTCTTAAGAGTGTACGAGCTCTGTGCCTAATGAGCCTCTCAGTCCAATCAGTTTCACCTCAACTAGCGTTGCAACTATAGTATGCACTCAAATGCATATTTCTACTGAATGCTCTTGCAAAATTGCAAGTGTCATTTTATTCAACCTATTTCGACTGATCTGAATATAGTTGGTTTTCCATGCAAGAATTTATAGAAACAATCGTCGCCGTTGGAAACTAACCTGTAGAATGCATTCGTCTGTCGTGCAATCGTAATATGCAAAACTGTCTGACTACATATAGTCTTCGTTCTGCAATTTAATATAACATCATTCCTCCTCGCATTCCATGCACTGTATAATGTGACTTCGAGGTATCGTACGTGGAATTTTCGATCTATAAATTCTTTTCTCCATATATTGTGGCAGAAAACGATCCGTATTGACATATGTTGAAAGTCTTCACGAGTGCATAGGTTAAAGGCTTAAAAGTGATATCATGAAATTTCGCGGACTGCGATATTACGGGGCTTCCGGTGCTTTGCCAATAAAAGAAGTAATTTTTTTCCAATTTATTGACAATTGTTAAAATTAAAAAAATATTTTAATCCCAATTGCTGAATTATGTAATTTGTATTTCATTTGTCCTCCGATTAGGATCAGTGCTCTTATCTGTGGAATATTGCGCCGAAGGATCGGTGCGAGTGGATAAAATATACTTTCGATTGCGAGACCGATTCATTGATACAGTACACGGAAAACCTCTTCTGTATTTTTGATACAGAACAACCAGGACTATTCGCAATTGGATTAATTCTCAATGTACTGTGGCTATTGTACCTCTTCCTTATCCTAGGAACAACGGCGGACAACTTGTAAGGAAAGTTTTGCAATCATATTGTTACTTAAGGTCCATCTTGAGTTCTTGATCCTCTAGTACAGCTAAAGTTTAACCCGTTACAACGTAGCCCAATGGGCCGTAAGGATTTAAGGACCCAACTGTAAGATGATGGTTTTGTAGATGGGAAAATGTAACCGTCAAACTCACCTCTAAAGTTACAGATACATGACATGCTTTTAAAAAAATTGTATTTTTGCCTTATCGCTTGGACTAGATAAAACGAGAGAAAAATTGTTCATGAATCTGAAGGGTGCTTGAATGAACGCCTAAATTTATATATTCTGATCCCTGATATTCATTGGATTCACAAGCGGATAATTTAGCTCTCGTATAATTTTCAGCTTTTGTCCCTCACTCGCTGTAATAGCGACGCTTTTAAGTCTCTCCGAGAACATAGCAGGTGTAACGATTCTAGCCTTTGGAAATGGCGCACCTGATATATTTACGTCTCTGGTCTCGGACCCTGATGAGAGCATCATTATATTCACGGAATTGATTGGAGCGGGGATTTTCGTGACAGCAGTTATCATTGGCTCCGTAGCTATTGTCTCTCCATTTCGTGTTACCATCAAGCCCTTCATGAGGGATGCTTGCTTCTACGCGATGGCTGTAGCCTGGATAAGTTTCGTCGTCAGGGACGAGGCAATTGACCTGTGGGAGGCCATAAGTACGACGTGTCCCAGGGTACCAGAACATTCAGCATCGATCACATATTCTAGACTCACCCTAAGCCGTTACAGGTTTCATACTGATTTATATCATATTCATCTGCGTCGTCGTGTTAATGCAAATGCGCCAGAATCGCGAAGAAAGTCGTAAGAGTACGTAACACAAAAATACTTATATATAAATTTAAAAAATTTTAAAAAATTTAAGATGTTTCACGTATCATTGTGTTTCAGCAAGAATGCCAAATGTGAATGATATAGAAATTCTGAATACGTATTTGGCGAATCGCAATGAACATTCAGCGCCTAGTCTTGTATTGCGACCTCGTGCTTTTAGTCTCCAGGTAAAGTTAGGTACGGCATTCTTAATTTTATTGTTTAACAAATCGACGAGGTAATTATGTTTTTTATCAAACGATATTGCTATTAGTTTTCTTGATTCTTGATAAACTTGTACAAATTAGAAATGGCGAAGGCTGCGGAAGCTATAAGAGCAAAGGCACTTGGTGAGACTTATTTAAGAACTGATACAAATACGGGAGAGGAAGCTGGACGATCTGCCTCGAGGAGACCGAAAGGACTTTTTAAGGAATTTTTCTTCGACATGTCACCGTTTAATCTGGATGAGTGGCGCAAGACAAATATTTTTCTTAAAATCGTCTTGATCCTTCGTGTACCTTTCATGATAGTACTACAACTCTTCGTACCGGTAGTCGATCAGCTTGTGGAAAATAGAGGATGGTCGAAATTACTTAACTGTTTACAAATCTGCATATTACCAACAGCGATTTTATTTATTTTGAAATGTGAGTTAATTGCTATTGCCTTTTGTCCCTGTCCTTATCCTTTATCATTACAGTGTGGGATCAGTGGATCGGACCTATTCCGATACTTCCTGTAGTATTTGGAACGACTGCGCTGATAGCAATTATTGTCTTTCGAAATACATCCGTGGGTCGTGTACCAAAATATCATAACGTAAGAAATCCCATCCCATATCCTACAATTAATTGTTGGAATTATTTCCAATTATTTATTGACAAACAGGTATTTGCCATTTTGGGATTTATGGCGGCCATGGTAGTGGTCTATATGGTAGCACAAGAGGTATTGGCAGTTCTCCAGTGCATTGGACATGCCGGTGGCATTTCCGACGCCATGTTAGGAATTACTTTTCTGTCGTGGGGCAATAGCGTTGGTGGTAAATAAAGTTTTCCGTGTCACTTATTTATTTATTAAAAATAATTTCAATTTAATTTCAGATCTAATTTCCAACGTGACTATCGCCAAACAAGGTTTCCCACGTATGGGATTTTCTGCCTGTTTCGGAGGTCCCATGTTTAATACCTTATTAGGATTTGGATTGACTTACGGTATAGGCTGTATTCAATCGTCAAACTTTCAGATCCGTTTGAGAGTAAGTGATATGGCACCTGGCTGTATAATGTTTCTCCTTACTTCTATATTCATTTCAATAGTATATTTGAACACAACAGGCGGCATAGCACGTCGCTCTTATGGATATCTTCTATTTTCACTTTACTTAATTTTCCTGGTTATCAATTTTCTCAGCGAAATTCACTACATCCATCCTCTTGGTACAGATCATCACGAGGATGATTATGACTACGAATAAAGAGATTTCAAAAATGTCTTTTTAATATCAAAGTCAATTAATTATAAAGTTATCAACCAAAATTATGATAATAAACGATACTCTTTATAATAATGAATAAATTACCCAGAAAACAATTTAATAGATTTTTTAAATTAACTATAGCCTTCAGGCACTTTAGTCCTCGTTAAATATCGAGCAATGGGAACGCCGTAAAAGATAAGGATATAATGCAACAATAGCCGGATTTTCATCGGAAGTTATATTGCCTAGTAGCAAACTAGGGCCACGGTAAGATATGCCATCTAGACGCGCCAAGATAGACCTGGCTTGGGCCTAAGTTGTTATCCGAGCATATTACGAGAAATTTCTACTAGGGAAAAGTGCTTAAGAAAATAAAGGATATCAAGGGAAAGGCAGAGAATTTATAGCCAAGTGGATATATAAATAGAGTAAATTTACTTCACGGGAAATAACAGTAACGTATCTTTGTTGTCGGACGAGTTATTTTTCTTACTCAAGAAGAGATAAACGTAAATTCTCGTTACTTATCACAATTCCAAGATACAGGACAGATTCGCATTGAACTGATATCCAGATTAACAAGAGATGTATGATGCATCAAATATCCGAGATCTATCACTATTAATACATAGTTACACTGTATCTGTACAAATGATTTCGAATATGCTCAAGGGAATGATAAATAGTGAAATGCATATGCGAAAGATATATTCGTCACGTAACACCGTAAGCTAACAATAATCCAGTTGGCTACAATATTCAGGCTATTTTTTTTCACAAGATAATACCCCACTGAATATAACCCTTCGTCTTGCACAATGCTTCAACACTATAGACCGTTGTATCATCTCTGTATATATTCCTACGCGATTACCATATGTATTGTTAAACTGGTAATTGTTTCATAGCAGTACGTATAATCGGTCTTTACCATGAGTGAAATCATGGGGGACTGTTGTTTGGCGGATTCAACAGAATCGCGTCTGTATGAACGGAGTTTACCATGTTGCCGGTACTTTTCATATAATCCGTGCAAGCCAGAATTTCACATCCAAGATATGTAAAAAAAAGCGGCTTAACCGTGACCGTGACTAATGCGCAAAATGATTTCCGTGAAGGACATTTATCTGGCGTCCCGTCAAAATTCTATAAGCGATTAACAATGCTTTTGCACGGAAGCACGCCTTTCTCTGGCTACTCGTGTTTCAACGAATGATAAATTAAAAGTGTTCTTTCGCGGAGGGACGATGTAAAATTATAACGTTGATAAAGGTTTACGGAAACATTAATTTTTCTTTTTTCCAAAAAGACTTTCATACGAATTTATAGTATACGTTCGTTATCAACACTATATATGTATATTTCAAAAATACATTTTTTAGTATGACGAGTGAAATAAATAATTCTATACCGGTCGACCCTTGTGCTCGTTCAGTCATATTGTACAACTGTATATCTATGGTGCTGCGATGGAAATCCCACGATGTAAGGCCACTCTTTCTTAGGCATTTCCCATGAGAGTATATTCGCTTACACCCTCAGTGGGTCTTAGCCATAAAAGCGTAACTGGAACCACGAGATGTGAAGTGGCTATCATTTTCCACCCTTTAATACTTCACGCTTCAGCAGACGGCTCAATCGTGTTATCGAATTACGTTTTTTCGTACTGACATTTAATTTTCGTTTGGACGAGCCTGAGAATCGGCAAATAACACGAATCCCAATTCTATACACTCGGATCGATCTTCTTTTCGTTTCCGGTAGACCAGCTGGAAAATCGAAATGATCTTAGATCAAGGTTCAAAATGGTCTTATCTTTTTGACTGTCGACTCTCCAACCGCAATGTTCATATTCATCGGAAACACAAGCGGCTATACGGGATGAAAGAACAACCCCTTCTCGAAGATGGTGCTTGGACCATTTCTTCCTTTCTACTGTTTTATTCAAGGCTCCATCTCAATCCCTGCCTCCAACCAATTCTTGCGTACCGCATGCATTATTTATCGACAATAAAGGACTCTCCGCCTCGACTTCCCCGTCCTAATTAGTTCTTTGCTCCTTCGTTCTTTCAAGGACGAATGAAGGCAGTTACCCCGAGGGAATCGCGACAACTCCATCCTCGTTTAAACTTTTCTTCGTATAACCTTTACTTCCCTCGTTCTCCTTTTTCACTCTAATATCCACACTTTTACGCAGGGTTGCACTGCTCTACTTAGAATATCTGCGCTCTAACATTTTTCATAGTTTCTCGGATCGATCAGGACGTTATTAAAATCATAGCCGTAGGAACTTTTCTACGTGTCACGGTTCACTGGCTCAGACGTTACAGAAGCACCCATCTCATAGTGTAAAAAGTAAAAAATTTGTATACCTTGAGACTGGCAACTACCACTTAAACTATTTGGTAAACCAGTGAATTCATTTAATTGGATATACGAGCGATCTAATTTATTCGGTATATCTTTATGTAAACTCTATACACGTTTGCATACCCTCATATATCTCAAGAGTTCAAAAGCAAAGACTAATAATGAATTAATAAGAAGAGCTATATGCTAACGTCTGTCATTACTTGTTTGCTCATAAGGTAATTTACCCGGTCGTACAATCTTAACACTGGTTCTCTGTACAGTAGAGTATTGTTCCGTCTTTAATGTCCTTAAGTCGGAGCAAACTCAGCGGCAAGCGTTTGTGTATAAAGAGGGGTCTGCGAGAGTAAGGATGATGCTACGTGGTAAAGCGAGGGTGAGGAGGAGAACAAGGTGAGGTGGGGGCTTGGAAACGGAGAGCAGAAATATGAAAGCAGACGGGAGTATTAATGTCGGATCCCCTAGATATTGCCAAGGCATTGTTCCCACTAGCCCTTTCAGCGTGTGTGCCAAGGGAGAGCGCATTGTCTCCCCGAAAGTTTAATTTCCCACCCCCAGCGGGATGCCGATAGCACAATGAACAAAGATGGCTTGGCTTAGGAGGAAAGTTTCCAACCGCTGAACCGTCCAGATCTCACTCTTTATGTCCGCCTAAGGAGGGTAGAGCTTGCGAGCCTGCCAAAACTGGATCATCGGAAAGCGTGTAGACACCGTGGGGATGAAGATTGGAGTGTCTGATTGGAATCGCCATTTTGATATTGGTTTGACTTTTTTCGATAGCGCCACCATAAATTTTATGGCGACAAGGAACCCTCTTTCTAAATTGACGGTTGCTATTGGCAAAGTTCGTGGATGACGGATTTATGTGTTTGGTGCTTCTGGTTTGGTGTATACATGTACTGATATTAGAAACAAATGCGTTCCGATACCGCGAAAACACTATTACAATCAGGTAATTACTAGAGTTTACCATTGTCTGTAGAGGGGCATGTAGGAATAATTGGATTCTACTACTCAAGACAACCCTTACACAAATGGGACGGCATTTAGGCTTAGGTCCACACTAAACTACAGTTTTAGACAAGTTACGCGGCACGCTAATCGCTTAAAGCAAGGCGATTTCGATTTCGCTCAAACGATTTAACGTCTTGTACTTGTTGGTAGAAGAATTTACGTCGGTTCGAAGTTTCCTGATCTCTGTAAGTTACTTTTGCAACTGTACGACGCCTTGCTTGGAGTAAGGGTGAAACTTTGATTTGATCATTCTCAGCAATTGTATTATCAGTAACCATTTGCAGTGTACATATTTAATTGTATAAGAATTGGAATACTGATTTGACAGTAATTGCTTTTCAATTACTATTATTATTATTTTCTTATGTACAAGTTGCAAATGGATGGCACTTTGTCCATGTTGGTGAAAAAATTCCATTACCAGAGATAATACAGTTCTTCGTTGGATAGCTGTAATGGATGTAAAGAAGAATTAGTGAAAATGCGACTGGATGGAAAATAATTAATTCGACGCTTAAAGGATCATTAATTATGAAAAGACTAGAAAAGATTTAATGAGTTCTCCTTCCTTATAGTGTACCGTTACTGCAGCTCTTTTTAATGGTATTGCAGGTTGTTGCTCATCATTTCCACTAGACCAAACAGTCTGATAGGTCCTTGTTGTGTTTCCACTGTATCCATTTTTTGATTCGACGATTCCAAGCAGCAAAAGTTTAAAAGTTATTGGTGCTTCAATTTTCTACGGCATTTGTTGATCAGGGTGTTATCAGTCATCCGTTAATCACCAGACAGGCAATACACCCAAGCGAGTAACAAGTTTATTCCATTAAGAGTTTCTCTTGTTTTTTCCAAGCAGTGGAATACGTTACTGCCTAAGTGGGTCGATTCTCTGTTGCTGCTCTTCAAATTCTCATTTTCAACCTCTGTCTCTGAAACTGTCAATGGGATTAGGCGCAAGTGCAGTTTTCAAAATAAAAACTATATTACAAAGACAAAGTTCAAAAGCATTTGTATCCCAACGCTAATTTTCATCCCTCACAGACTAACGCATTCCTCTATTTGGAAACTCTAGGTAAATGCATCAGTTACCGATCGAGGATTTGTCTCTTATCAATAGAAAAACAACTCTCCGTTTACATGGTATTCCTCAAGGGTCGTAACCGTATGAATATTGAACATTAACAAACTGGAAAAATACAGCGACAGAACTCTGCCGTAGTCATACGCAAAGAAGGGAAGAAAAGGAAGAGTGAGTCCAGCCAGACCGGGGTTTGCCACGTCAGCGGACTTTAATATTGCACCCTCCTAACGGTCATCCGGCGCATTCACATGGAAACCTCCCGGATACTTATGCACATTGCCTACCAGGAGTTCCGGCATCAGGTATACATACGTTCTTATGTGGTCTTCTTCTTCTTCTGCTGACACATGGATTTCCACCTATTGGCTCCCTAGCTGCTATAGTCCCGTAGGATCAGAATCGATTGAACATGGCAGAGGGAATATCGCGAAAACAGACGGCTTAGCAGGAGAATTTCTGCACTTCAAACGTCGTCCGGATAACAAAGTACTTAAGGGTTCAGAGCCTGCTTATTGGAGCCATATAACAGATC